AAAAAAAATGTTCCGGGGGGTGGGATTGAACTCGGACCTCTGCAACCAATTCAGTTCACCATGGGTTTTTTTCTTGGGGCCAAGGAAAACCTGCTCAAAGTTTTATTATAGAAATTTACTATAATTATTTTATTCTTTTTAAAAAATATTCTTAAAATTAATTTTTTCACAAAAGATTGCATTGTCATCAGTTTCTAGGCTATCCTGAAAGTTTCAGCTTGATAGCTAGTTGGGAAGTGAGTGAAATTTGAGTTTCAAAATTTGATCCGGACAAACAGACAGACAAGAAAGTGAGTTCATAAAAACGTGGTAAAAACGTGGTAATTATTCTGGTCCATGGGGGAAAGAAAAATGACAACTATTTTGACTGACAAATACTGTACTGTATATTATGAGTGACTAATGTAGCTTATTTTTGTTGTTGTTGCAGGTGAATGATGAAACCATCAGTATTCCATCTACTCCTGCCAAGGCCTTGGCAGTTCTGTGGGAAAACTGGTTGCCCGACAGAAATGTGTTCATCATTCATGATGACACCTGGATCTACACCTACATCTTCAGGAGGGAGTCCATAGATGGTTGGAATTCATTTTGTATCTATAAATGCAGTTAAAGAAAAATCTTTTCACAACAAAGTTCATCTCATCAAATTTTTCAATGTAACAAACGTTTTCTCAAGTCGTGGCAGCAAGCCCACAGAGTAAATGTTAATGTAAGACTTGTTATTATAAAATCCCGAATTTTTGTATGACAAACTCTTTTTAAGAATTTTAATTGATTCTCCATGTGGAAATTTCCTGACTAAGGCACGCGCTGTATGGAATTTCTGATCCCAAATGTGACTGACAGGTATTTTTTAAGCATGGATGGAAGCTGTAATCAATTACAAACAATTTGTTGCATAAAACATACTCCCAGAATGAAGAGATTGATGCAACTGAAGGAATGCTTGATTGAAGCTAATTTCCTATTGGAAGATCACTCAGTTTTTCAAGCAAAAATAAAAAAAAATCTGAGTATGCCAGAAAAACATGATCTGTAGTTGAATATAGGCTGGTCTGATTTGGAATTTTTTTCAATCATTAATCATGAAAATCTCTATCTAAGAAATTGTTCAGTATAACAAACACTTTCTGAAGTCTCAAAAAGTTTCTTGAAACAAGATTTTACTGTCATTCTGTCTAAAATGTGTTGTCACCCATCATGCAGGTGCATCAGTGGAGCAAGTTGGCAAGACCAGACTGCCGTTGAACCAGCGTCCACTCATCCTGGTGAATGGAGAACTCACTTGTCAGACACCAGGTGGCAGATTGACAACCTTGACACTGTCCACTCATGAAATGGTGGCATCTGTGCATGACCTGAAGGCTGAAGAACTCCAATTAGCCCTGGAGAAGAATTTGGCATTGGGGCGGTTCAAAGATGCTTGGCAAGTGTGTCTTGCTCTGGACAAGCGTGAAGAGTGGGTGTGTTTGGGCGAAGCTGCCATGAGGAACATGGAAGTGGAGACTGGTATTCTGATTTTTTTGTGACATGAGCTAACTGTGGACCCTTTGTTTGAAAAACCCCTCAGTTGACAAACTTTTGTCCCCAAGAAAAATTCCTGTTTAAAAACCAAAATTTCGTTGAAAAACTCCCATTCCTTTTCAAAAATTCAAATTTTGGTTAGCACACTGAACTGTATGGTATACAATCTAATGGCAGTTCCAATAATTGACAAAATTAAGCAGAAAATTATTATGCAGACCAAAAAGGCTTTCCCATCATTTTTAAAGTTTGTTTAACATATAATTTTTTCTTCAGTTTACAGCATTGTAAAGTTAACATTTCATTTTATGGTGGCAGTTTTCCTACTCATATGCAACTATTTTTTTGTCCCTGAAGCTGTTCGAGCATATTTTTCATCAGCCATACTCCCATCCAACACTAAAAAACATTGTGAACATATGCAGGATGCTACAGTAACTCATCTTGATCAGATATTTGCCCTGAACTTTTTTTATTACATTGCCAATTTTATTTTGGGTGCTAGAATGGACAATTTGGTTCTGTAGTGAAGTCCATGATGAAATCATATTTGGTTAACAAAGTGTTACGTGGAACCAATTGAGTTCAATAACCAAGGGTCTGCAGTATTTTCATTTTATGGTTTGTGTGAATTTATCTTCAGTAGCAATATTCAAAAATCTTGTGAATATATGTCCACTTGTCCAGATTCATAAGTACTGTAGTAAAATATTAGTGCTGAGATGAATGTAATCATTTTTCAGAATTGAAAGAGAAATGTTTGAAGTTGAAGTTTTGTGTGTATAGGAAGAAATTATTTTGTTTGACTGAGTTTTTGTACTTTTTCTGAAAAACAAGCTGCAAGAGCCTACAGACAAGCTGGTGATGTAGGCATGGTGTGGTTCCTGGAAGACTTGTCAGGTTGCCAGGACAGGGTTCTCATGGCTGGTCACCTGTGCATGGCACTCAATGAATATGACAAGGCTCAGGTGAGTGGCAAAAACATCTGATTTTAATCTTGGATGATTATGTAGGAAAGAATAACTGACTGTGGTGTCTTCATCATCATCAGGAGTGGTACCTCAAGTCTGGTACCCCAGTGTGTGCCCTGGAGATGAGAAGAGACTTGTTGCACTGGGACCAAGCTCTGCAGTTGGCCAATAAACTGGCACCTGCCCAAATACCTGCTATATCCAGGGAATATGCCCAGCAATTGGAATTCACGTGAGAAACTCAATCTTCTCTCGGTCTATTTGAAATTTTACAATACTTGTTTTCTTCTTCAGGGGAGATTACCCTCAAGCACTGGTGCACTATGAGAAGGCCATTGGAAGTGACACTTCAGTGCCAGTGTCTGGTGAAGACAGTGGGGATGAACATCAGTTTGCGTGTCGTGCGGGTATTGCAAGGACTTGCATACGTTGTGGAGATCTGCGGAGAGGTGTGCAAATAGCTGGTAACATTGACTCAAAGGCCGTCAAAAAGGACTGCGCTGAAATCTTGGAGTCCATGAAGGTGGGCGCAGAGTTAGCATTTTTTGTGTGTGTGTGTGGAATGCAGAATGATGCTTAGTTCGCTTATGTGAGTGGGTGAGGACAGAATTTATGAAAACTTGAATAAGTTAAAAAAATATTTTGCAGTGCTGTGCCAGAAAATGAAGGGAATTTGAGTCAAGAGTCTGGAAATATCTTCGAGAGCATGAACAAGACTCCGAATAAGTTCACATCACTGTATTTATAATTTTAAAATTTTATAAATTCCTGAGATGTTAGGAATGTTTGGCTTGTCCGGTGACGCTTGTTCGGGGCTATTTGAATCACATTCTGCGCCGTTAAAGCCTTAACCCAATTTTCAAAAACATTTTTTTAAAATTTGTGGAACAAGTATGTTTTGATTGTTTACATTACTGTATAGTTGATCCAGAATAATTCGAATCTCCGAAATGTTTTACTTTCTAAAGTTCGTCTGAATGTCTTTAGAAACAATATGCATCAAGCTTTTCAAGAACGTCCCTAATATGAAAGCCTTCCCCTGTGAACCTCCATAGTTCAAAATTTTGGAGCCTATAATTTTATGGACACAGTAAAGAGCAAAGCAATACAAATTTAAATTCCTGTGTATTGAAAGGAAGTGAAGGATTAATTGTGCACAAGAACCCTTGCTTTTGTAAGTTCAGCATCCTGCCAACTAATTTAAATAGCAGTTATTAAGGTTCAGAATATCACCAATTAAGATTTCCTGAAATTTGTCCATGTCATCCCCAACAGGTACACTTTTCTTGCTGAGGACCCCCTGACTAAAAAAAAAAAAAAATCTGATCAAGACTTGCTTGAATTAGCTGATTATACATGATGAGAGGTGAGAGGCAGTGAGGGTATCTAGTCCTCGATAGTATAGTGGTCAGTATCCCCGCCTGTCACGCGGGAGACCGGGGTTCAATTCCCCGTCGGGGAGTGCTTTTTTCTGAAGAATTTTTGCTCATGTCTGTTTTTCAGCAATATTCAGAAGCAGCTTTGCTGTACGAAAGGGGCCAGTTTTATGATAAAGCCGCAATATTATACATACGACTGAAGAACTGGCCCAGGGTTGGAGAACTGCTGCCGAATGTCACATCCCCAAGGATCCACTTGCAGTTTGCCAAGGCCAAGGAGTCTGAGGGAAGGTACAAAGAGGCGCTGGCTGCTTATGACAGAGCCAGGGACTATGACTCGGTGGTGAGACTCTTGTTGGACCACTTGGAAGACCCTGAGGCAGCTGTCAAGGTTGTGAGGGACACTAAGAGTGTGGAAGGTGCCAAGATGGTGGCCAAGTTTTTCCTCAAGCTGAATGACTTTGGTTCTGCCATACAGTTTTTGGTGTTGTCCAAGTGCAATGATGAGGCATTCAGGTGATGCACATTGTTACAATTTTTACCCTTTTTTTTGATTTTTTATGACTCGCCCAAAAGATTCAGAATTTATTTTCTCTACCCACTTCTGTTCTATAGGGTTGAATTGGATGACCGTTATTGATGCTTTAATTTTCTGTTGGAGACTCTTCTGTTGACTGAACTTTGTCAAGTTGAGTTTCTTCTTGTGGCTAGATTTCGCGAGTAGGGACCATCTCTTTCTCCGTCATTTTCGTTGCATTTTTTCTACATTTTGTGCAATTCCTACGTTTCATGTTCTCTAATTGCTTATATTAAAAAATCTGAAAAGCGCAAGTTTTCAAATTTCTCATGGAGGATTTTTCAATTCTGTTTTAAATTTTTTGGCAGGAAAACTTGACAGTCCCTCTATTTTGTCCCAGAATGTTACATCTTAAATAATCAGGCTTGGTGTTCCCACCTGTATTATGCAGAATTTCAGAGTTGGAAGAAGTTTTTAGACTTGAATGTACCAAAGTTTGAAAGCCAAGTCAGCCATTGTTGATCGGAATTGCTGAGGCCCAAACCCAGAGTTCATCAACCAAAAAGTCAAGCCAGGGGGTTTTTCGAATAAGATCCCACTGAAGTACCGTGTATAGTACACATTTCTTCTCAAAATTGAAAAGAGAAAGGAGGGTGAGCAATGTGGGCAGGCTTAAAATTTTTCAAATTTGTTTTAAATCTAGGTGCGTGTTACACTCACTGCAGGAAATTTGGAATCCATTTTAACAGAATAACTATTTTATTTATTGATTATTCCAAAACTGAATTATTCAGGGTTGATTTATGTCTAAATTCGAATTATGGTGTGAAATTTAAAAATAAATGCAGGCTTAGACTCTGAAATGGGGTGCGGGTCTTACATTTGGAAAGGGTTTTGTCAAAAGTGTAGTCTGAATATTTCAGTGAGTGCCTGACTTGAGGGTGAGTGATGGTACTTGAGTAAATTCAGTAATTAATTAAATGTGGGTAAATGTCATTGGCATGTCCTCAGTCACTGTGATGGCTTTTCATATACAGTGAGACCTCCAGATGTGTGAGACCTCCAGATTATGGACATAATTGGTGCACCAAGAACCCTAAGTTGAATTGTCCCCGAGTCAAGTCTTGTTTTTCCATAGACTTATATTACTGTATACTGTATAATTTTTAATTAGTGTTTTATGGAAAAATATTCTGTAGAATTCTATGTAAAAAAAAATTTGCCACTTGAGATTGATTCAGTGAATCTACAAAAATAACATTCAAGTCACAAAGAGAGAAGGAAGTCCCTTTGTGCAATTGGTAATTTTATTTAATTAGCTGAATGAATGGGAGAAATGACAAAGAATTTTTCTTGCATAAATCTTAGGGTTGGAAATATCTGTTTCTTCCAATCAAGCTAAATAAAAGTCGATTTATGTGAAATGTATTGGCAATTTTATCATGCAATGTCCCTCCTTTTGAGGCTGTATCCATATGTTGGGCCATTTTCTATGCCCTTTGTATTGAAAAGTAAATGTCCCTATGTCGAATTGTCCTCATGTCGAGGTGTTCTCATGTGGGGGTCTCACTATAACATATATGTATGTATCTTTTTGCAGACTGGCCCAGCAACACAACAAGATGGAGCTGTATGCGGACATCATCGGCGACGACGCAACCCACGAAGACTACGCCAGCATTGCACTCCATTTCGAAACCACAGCCAAGAATCTCTTCCTGTCTGGAAAGTTCTACTTCCTGGCTGGCAAGTACGAGAAGGCCATGTCGCACCTGTTGAGACACGCCGGAGGGACAGGCCGAACAACAACAACGACATCGATGAGGGAAAGTGCCGGAGGCGAGGACAGGGCCCTGCAGTTGGCGGTGGACGTGGCAGCAGCCAGTGGGGACGACAAGTTGAGTGGACAACTCATTGACTTTTTGCTCGGCGATGTGGACGGTGTGCCCAAGGATGCCAGGTACTTGTTCCGGTTGTACATGGCCAAAAAGATGTTCAGGCAAGCTGCCAAGACTGCTGTCATCATTGCTGGAGAGGAGCAGAGTAGAGGTGTGTTTTTATAGTACTGTTGTGCGGTACTGTGCTCTAATTTGGTTTGATCTGTCTCCTGGTGGTGTGCTGTTCAACTTCTCTCTGATTTTATTGCGGTGCTATGTAGATGTCGCTTGAATCGCTATCGTGGCCGCGCTGAAAATGTCTTGGTCACATGTCCTGAAGAGTTGTTTGATTGAAAGCATTATTGATCTCGTAGAAAAATTAATTGTTGATTTATTTAAAATTTGACGAAAAGAATTTCGATTTGCAGGGAACTACAGGGTGGCCCATGATGTCCTCTTGGGGATGTGTGGAGAGTTGAGAGGGCAAAATTTGCCAGTGGGACAGGAAATGCAGAATGCTCTGGCACTGCTTCACTCGTACGTTCTGGTGAGGGTTCAGGTGAAACGGGGTGAGCATAAAATCGCTGCCAGGTTGCTTGCTAGGGTTGCCAGAAGTATCTCCAAGTTTCCAGCTCGTGAGTCTTTTTTCCACTTCTGTGTTATTGTTTTTATTCTCGTGGTGTTTTGATTTGTGTTTTTCTCTCTCAGATGTCGTCCCTATCCTAACGTCGACGGTGATCGAGTGCCAGAGGTCGGGCATGAAAGCCACAGCCTTCAACTATGCCGCTGTGTTGATGCGTCCTGAGCATAGATCCAGGATTGATGACAAGTACAAGAGCAAGATTGAGGCCATTGTGAGGAAGAATGCTGGCAGCAGGGCCAAGGAAGGGTCGGAAGTGTCTGGAGAGGATGAGGAGCTGGGTGTGAAGACACCGTGTCCAGCGTGTGCCTTTCCAGACTTGCCAGAAATGGACTTGGATTGTCCCAGATGCAAGACCAGGCTCCCATTTTGCCTGGCCACTGTAAGAAACAACTCAAACCAACGAAAAATGAAGAAATAAGAGTTCAAGGATCTGAAATTTCAAGTCTTGATTGCGTCTCTGGAGATGTTCATTTTTATGCTGTATTTACTCGAGTACTGTAGTATAAACCCTCAAGTAAAATGAGCACCAGGGTTTTTCGGTCTAAAATTTTAATAAAATTGTATCTTGAATAAGTAAATTGCGCATTCCATTTTTAGTGACTTCAAAAATCCAATATTTGAAAGATAGGAACACCCAAAGTTCCATTTTGACATGAATTGAACCTAAATTCAACTCCCATATTCACTGAAGTACCTTGCGCACCTTTTATTTTTCTCAAAATTGAGGAGGAAAATATGGGGGTGTGTGTCATGGCAGGGGTACTAGAAATTTCAAATATTTTGAAAGTGCAGGTGCATATCATGCTTGAAGATGGGAAATTTTTGATATTGATTTTTGAAAAAGCAAGACAATTGAAAATTAATTGCACTCAGATGGAATTAGTGTTCAAAATTCAATTCTGGTGTCTCCTATTCATTTTTAATATTGTAGTTTAAAATGGGGTGTCCCTCTTACTTGGGGATAGATTGCATAAAATTTTTGGATGGAAAAATTGGAGTTTGTATCTCACTCAATGATGTACTCAAGTAAAGATGGTGATTTTACTTTTTTCTTTAAAATCAGTTGAACTTGGTCCAAAATTTCCCATTATAAAATCAGGTACATGTACTGTATAATGCATACCTAAACTTCAAAAACTGTTGAATTTTTAATCTGTTGATACACATTTCCTTTGTTTCCTCTTGAATTTGAGAGAAAAGGTGCAAATGGTACATGTGTGAATAAGGTGAAGAGGACCAAAATTACATCTTGAAGTCCAACATTAGTGTTTTAAAGGATCTCAAGTTTGTTGCACAGACACATTCAATCACTCAGGAGAGGAAGAAAAAAGTGTTGATCAATTTTTTGTGATTTGTGGATCTGAATCCGTCCTGACTCTTGAAGCACAAGGTTTTTTTGTTTGTTTTTGTGGCAAGTGAAATGAAGCAGAAACACTTCATTGCATTCCCACACTTGGTCATTTATCTCAGCAGCTCGTTCAAAGCAAGTGGACTTTTCTAGACAGGATGAAGGATGTTCATTGCTTCTTCTTCTTCCTCCATTTCATGAGGGGCATTCATGAAGAAACCCTGTCTTGGGGTCTTCTTGCAAAAGGTGTTGATTTTGTATATGTCAGTCTGGGTGAGAGTTTCTCCGTGGGCAATTTTGGACAGATTGATGGGTTTCAGGGGCTGCAATGTGGGCATCCTCAGGTTCTTTGTATTTGTATTGGGGTCATAATGCATGAGGCTGTAGTAGTCATATGGTCCAGGTGTGACATGTACCTTCCTGGGTGCTTGTTAAAGCCCAGCTCCCATCCTTGAGAATTTTTATAATTTTTTCTTGATGAAACAAAATTTATCTCTGTATTTACTTGAATATGTTCGCATGCTCCTGTAAGATGTGCACTAGGGTTTTTCAGTCAAAAATTTTCTTGATAAAATTTTATCCCAGATAAGAGGCACATCTCATCTTCAGTGACTCATCTAACTTTGCAATATTTCACAAATAATAACGCCCAAATGTGAATTTGAACATGAAGTGAAGCTCATTTCAACTTCAGTTGAATGTCTCAAAGTCAAATTTCAAGGGACCAGAAAAACAAATTGGCTTGAGGAATTTTTGACTTGGGGGAAGTTTTGAGTTGAAGAAACCAGCATTTTTGTTTTGGGAAACATATAGAATTGCAGGATATTGTAAATGGTGATATTCTATAGGTCTTGAATTACTTCTTGGATGAGTTGACTGGATGCTGAACTCGGGTGCAAGGTTTAATTTGCCCAATTACAGCAATCTTATCAAGGTTTCATGAAATCACTTGAATTTACTCAAGCTCATAAATCAGCACAAATTTGTTTGCTATATTTAATGAAAAAAGATCATCCATATTCAAAATAAGACAAATAAAAGGCATGTATCTTAATCAGTGCAAATGAAGATTATATAGGACATGCTGGGATGATAGCACAGGGATGACCTTGTGCTGATATGCTTATAAATTGTGAGCTTTTTTGGAACATCTGCCCTTACAAATTGCTTAGGAAAACTTGATCAACAGAAAGTGCTGGTGTTGACCAATTATTCAGATTAAATGTTTGTGATTATAACATTTAAACTTCCTTCTGAAGGTTGCACTTTTTAAATGCCAGAAAATGAAAAGGCTGCAAAAGGATGATGTCAAATTTATGCAGGTTAAATTTTTAGAAAATCTTCTAAAAATGTCAAAAATCTCAATCTAAAAAATTATTTAAATTAATGAGCTTTTTCTGAAGCCCGCCCAAGTTTGTTGTAAATCAGATTTCACTGTACAGTATATTGTACTGTAGTTTAATGTTATTCATTGACAATAACCACTTCATTTTATTAATCTTCATAGAATTGTGTTTGGTTCAGCCATTATTTTCTGTGAAGATATAGACTTGGCACCATACGTTTCCTATTCTCTTGAAATTACCACACTGTTCTGAGTTTTTCTTATTCCCAAGTAACATGTTCCTTATTTTTCTGCCTTAATTTCTGCTGGATAAAGGATATATGCTTTGTACAGTACTTGCAGGAATAAAGTATGATTTGATTTTTTCATTTGAAGTTATGCAGTTTCTAACAAAATTGACAAGTCCATATTGCATAGCTTTAGAAACGTAGAATATCTAAAAAATTTTCAATGTTTTTTCTCAAAGAAAAATTCATTTTCATAAAATTACTGCTGAAATGATGACAAAAACTTGGAAATTAGCTCTTACATATATATGCTGAAATGTGCACCTTTTTGAATCCTTTTTAAATGAAAATTCATTCAATCGTGATTGTTGCTGCAACACACATGTTAAACTTACATATTGTTTGAAACTTTCTACAAATAATTTTAAAATGTACTGGTCATTAACCCATGAACCCCATACCTCCTGAAATCCCCATGCAGAAAAGTCTGAAGAAATGGTGATATCTTATAGCACGTTTGACTTTTTCTGCAGAAGCAGCAGATCTTCTTCATCAACTACAGTGCAGAAAACTGAGAAAGTTACAGCTTCATTTGCACTATAATGCAATGAGCTACATTCTTGAATTGATTCAATTCAGCAAACAAGTTTTTTCCTTATTGAACAGACGCTGAATAATAATTAAACTGTGCAATGAAAGAAAAGAAAACATGATCACAAGAATATTATCAAATTAATTTTTCATTCATTTGAAACATGCACACAGTAACAAGTGAGCCAAAAATTGCCACGCAGCCAGAAGCGCAGCA